AGTCCTTTCAAAAAGCGTCCAAATACGTTGAATTTCGGCCCATAACTGCCAAAAGTCGGTCCATAGTCGTCCCGGGCGCCATCGGAGGGCTCCGAGGGTGCTGTGGCGAGCTTTTCTGTCATTTTTCGGTCTTCTAGGGTAAATCTCGCCGTCAGCGCCGTTTTGGGTGCCGTCGGCAAGCAGACTGCGCAGCTCCACCTAATCATTTGTGAATTAGTCAGAAGACAATGTAAATTTAGGGAAATGTATTGATATGGTTTAAACATGGAGTTTCTAGGGAGACAGCTGGAAGGAAGAACCAAACTTGAACCATACTTATTTACGCGCTTGACATAGAGTAAATTGATTTATGCTCCGATTTATCACTATATCAATTATAATTCTTAGTAGTCACACCTACAATCTACCTGGTAAATCATATGAGAAAAGTAATTTTATCAATCTTGAATTTCACCTAATCATTTGATCTAGATAAGTTTAATTTAAACATAGAATGTTAACATAGGAGTAGTTGTTAGAAAAACTGCCTCTAACGACATTCCAAATTAGGATCTGAAAGTGGTAGAATAGAACTTCGCCTTAGGAATTAACTTCCTCCCATTCCTTGTGAGATAGACACCGGGCTCATTTAAGCTCTATATTACTGAAACGATACGTATACTTGTGTGAGAAATCTCAGTAAGTAATAATACCTAATGTTAAGAACTCAATCAATTCGATAGGAAGCAGATCAAGTTTCTACTGCCATTACGAGGACTTATATAAATCGTGAAAATTGTTGGGGCGGATCAAACATCTTGGAGGCTATTTTGGGCGCCTAGGAGCCCGGGCTAGCGCTTAGGTGCTGGTCTGACCCATATGCGCTGCCCCCCGGGCACTACCTTCCAGGCTCTCGGGTTTGAACATCTTGAAGCATGTTTTGAGCGCCTAGGCGCTAGGGACTGGCGTTTCCCCATTAAGCCTCGATTTTCTCCAGAAATGTCCGACGAAGGATTTTTTTCAATCCTTAAGTATGAGAGAGTGTCTATGCCTAAAATATGGTCCCATAACTTTAAAAATAAGCATTTTTTCATGTGTCCTACATTAGTGGTTTCATTGTCAATGGGTGCCCCAACTTATCGAGCGGGTACGACGTTCAAAACCCTAACTTTCCTATAAATGTGTGTGGGAGGGTTTAACAGATCCCTATGACCATGGGAGGCTCCAAATGCATGGAGTACGATCACTAAACACCACAATGAGCATTAAACATACCCCAAATCATAACTGATGCTATCTAACGATGGATTATATCGTACAAGGCTGAATCATTGCGGACCCTAGTTTTGTGCCACAAATACACGCCAGCGGGTCTAGATGGATATTTGAACTACGAAACGCTATAAATGAATAACAAATAGTCCCAAGTCATTCAAGTGGATATCTTACACGTGTAACATAAAAAATTAATGCCAACATAATATTACTTCAATATTCTTTCTAACATATTTATTTCTTTCAAACTAAGTTCTCAAAGACACATATTTTAAACTTTGAATCAAATATAATACCATACTTGGACTGCCAACAAATAATAAGAAGCAGCACTTGATGAAATTCTCAAAAAAAAAAAAAAATAATTTCGTTTCATTTGTCATTTTCATTAATCAATTAAAAAGAATACTTATAAAAATGAATATTTTAATATTTTTTTTTCTTGCATCATTTAACATTAAAAACACGTGTATAATAATGTTGATATAAGTCGGACTAGAACCTTCCCACATACCATTTCTTCGTCTTCTTTCACATGAAGTCCAACGAACAGAGCCAGCCCTACAAGAAAGTTCGAACAACATTGACAGAAGTGTCGGCCCGCCCAACTCAAAATCAAATTGAATCCCCTATGTTGCAGTTTCATACCAGTTCTTCCTCTCTATATATATCCAACCCTAAGCCGATTCTCTCTGTTTTCAGCCAGATATAGGGCTTGAGAAGAGAGAACAGGCAGGCGGCAATGGGATCTTTGCCATCGGATTCTCTTGTTCTCCATCAACTGTGTCCTGCAGCTGCTGTTCTCCGGTCGGCTACGGTCCCCGCCTTCTTCGGCGGATCATTCGTGCCGTTCTCCGGACCCTCGATCCGTCGGCGATCCATTTGCCTGTTTCCGGCGGCTGACGGCAGGGTATCCGCCTCGGCGAGGAATGGGTCTTTGGTTTCGAATTCGATGAAGGTGCGCCTTTTAGATTAGTGTCGTGGTAATAATCAGGGCTTCAATTTAACGAGCTTGAAAATGTTACATCGAGATAACTATGAGAGAACTTTTATTGGAGTCTCGTAATCTCTAAGGATCATTATGAAAGATACGCGCAACCATTGTGCTTGTCTTTGTTTTCCCATTCCTATAGAAGACAAAATTGTAAATTTTGACAAATAGAGTTGGTACAATGCGGCATATAAACTAATTAAGATTTTTGTGGGGCCCAATTTGGAGAAAAAAATATTGAGTCCGGAGGGCCAACCGTCGGGTGACACGTCGGTAAATCGCTACCGTAGGGCAACACGTCGTTAAATCGCCACTGACGTGCGAAAAATTATTGCATGCGGACACCACCGCATATGCAAAGACCGTAGATCACGTTAATCTGCAATCAAATTTTTACCGCATATGCAGAGACCGTAGATCACGTTAATCTGCAATCAAATTTTTTTTTCTTACAAAAAAAAAAAAATAAAGTATGACCCACCGAAATACATTTTCACCGTAGATCACTGTGATCTACGGTGTAGGTCGTAAAAATAAAGTATGACCCACCGAAATACATCTTCACCGTAGATCACTGTGATCTACGGTGTAGGTCGGATATCGCATGCATCTCTGCATGCGGTGTCTTCATTCATGTTCATTTTCTTAGATGCTTTCTTGACCTCCTACAATCTGGATACATATTTGACTAAAACACTAGTGTTAGTCTTCCTGAAACTTGATAGAAAAAATCATGGATTGATATTAAATCGATCGCTAATTGTTGAACTTGTGCTAAAGTAATGATATTACTTTAAATTTCAATATTTTGTTAGTGCCCAAGCATTCCTGAATGTATTGTGCCGTAACATAAATTTATCGTAGTCAAGGGCGGTTAAGGTTTTGCTAGGATATTACCCATAAGATGCAGCATACTTATTGTGGTGAAAATTTTGTGAAGGTTGGGTTAGATGTCACTTGTAAGTGATATGTCATAACTAGATTTTGATTACAAAAAAAATTACCTGATTGTGAAATCCCATAATTTAGTTGTTCTGAAAATTGAACTAGGATTAGCTAGATCTAAAACTAAAATTAGATTTGCAATGTGAATTTTAGTGGGGTTTAAATAGGAAGATAAAAATTGATTAACTCAATGATTGTAAGAAAGTTTGATTGTTTGCAAGAAACTAAATAGAAAAAAATCAAATGTCGGTTAGAATATTAGAAGTTATTGTATATTGGAATGGTAAATATTGGAAAAAAGGGTTGAGATAGTAGTGGATATAGCATTGAAAGATAAACTTGCTTAGGTGAATGGGTTAGTGATGAGAGGTGGAAGTTGAAGATTCTCCTTTGTTGCAAATATCATATCTTGATTTTGAGATGGTGAAGGCATTTGCATTTCTACTTGATTGATACAAAGAAGAGAGAATTAAATTAGATGGCCTCCAAAAGCTAGAACAATAGGAGGAAGGGAGGGGGGGGATTTGGAGGCACTTGCAATTTTATATTCGTATCATCTTTAGGGTTCCCTATATGTAGCCGATTTTTCAAAAGCACTTCGAGATTCTTGATTGCAATTTTGTAATCCTTTTATTCATAACAATAGGCTTAAAGACACTTGTGGAAGGAGTGAGTGTATGACAGAATAGTAGTGGTATTCAAAGAAGAAACTTCACCTTCAAATACTGTGGGCAACAAAAGATGCTCGAAATTCCTTCTAAAGGGTATAAATTTTTGATATTGAAAAAAAGACTAATATTATACACATACGAAAAATCAATTAAATATATATTGGGCCTTTCTTTAAGATTTTGATATGATTTGAAGATCAAGATAAAGTTTCTTAAGGGATATACAATAACATGATCTATGAGAATTTGAAATAAAACATAATATTGATTCAACTTGCAATGCCTTTGATGAGCAATGATAGCTATCTTATATTTTTCAATTTGTCGAACAAAATGTTTTGATGTAATTTATGAATATGCTCAATAAAATTAGTGGTATAAAAAGAAAAAAAAAATGATTAGTAGGTAGAGAAATTAGATTAATAAAGAAGCAGGGGATTTATCATTAAAAAATTCAAAAAGATGGCATAATTGTGGTTTTATATAGAATATTATTATATGCAAATTCAATAATTGGTAACACTAAGACTTGCTAATTTTTCACCCAAAGAATAACACAAACTTGTCTTAAACAATAGTTGACTACTTTTATTAGGACATTGATTTATAGGTGAAAAACAATCAACATTAAAAAAAAAAAAAGGAGATCAAAATAGTTCTTAGACTCCTCATACTTGATCTAAAATAATTACTTGATTTCTCAAAACCAGTCCAAAATAGTTGAATCTTCAAATTTGATATTAAATAATATAAAAGAGGTACTTTGTTGAACCTTATTTAAGGAGTTAAGGGACTAAGTTGGATATATTTATAATTTAAGATTAAAATAGTCTCATGAAAATAGTCTAAGGAACATTTTGACATTTTTCTTGATAAATGTATTAACATGGTATCAAAAAGTTTCCCCTGAAGTGACTAAATTACCTAACAATCTGTCAAATAATAAGTACAGAAGTGAGAAGCCCATAGAGATGAACAATGCCTCAAAAGAATACACTTATCATGCGTGAGGCATCCAAAGTTTTCTTACAGAGCAAAAAGTGACTATATTTTGAGAATCAATTGATTATAATGGATGTGGTCATCTTAGAATGCAATCCACAATAAATCAAGAACTGATTTTTACAAAAAATTTATTAGGGTGAGGAAAAGTTGAATAATGACATTTAAGGTCTAATGAGCTGCTTTAAATGCCTTGCCACCCTAATTGCATCACACTGACCAATAACTCAAGTAATATCACACATGGAATTAAATATTGATGATGTTTTATAAGAAAATTCAATATTAGTTTGATAGCCAAATCAGTCACATGTAACTCTTAGTTAAACAATCTTATTGGGATGTGTAGGGGACATAGCGGAATGATTTTCAAGTGAGGAAGCCGTGATGAAGTGTAATGGTAAAAGGAGTGGGGTGACTATTTATATATAATGTTGTGTAGATGTTCTTGAAGTTAGAAGAGAACATATAACCTGGTTTCAGTCGTGACGCACTAAAATGGATATCATAGCAAAAATTGAATGGATGCAACTAAGTGTATCAATTGCTTTATTGTCAACTCCAACATGACGTTTAAGGATCTATGAAGCATGGACGTGAGACACAAACACTAGCATTTTATAACACAGTCAAAATGACAGAATGTGAATGTAAAAAGTAAAAAATGACATGACATTGAATTTTTTTTTTATAACAAATTATTAATATAAACTATAGAATTTTTCTAAGGTTTTCTACAAAAACATAAGAGTAGTTTTATAAAATAAAAGCATAATATGATAATAAAAAATATTTTTTCACAAAAGCATTCATTTTCAATGATAAAAATGGTGCAATTTGGAAAAAAAAATGAAATGTACATGGTGTGCATTCATTTTATTTTATAGGCATCCGTATTTGGGGGAAAAGAGTTAAGTGTAAAAGACAAATTTATGAGATACAAGATGTTAACAACATTGTTGTGAGTCCTAACTAGATGACCATATAAAATTCATGAATATTATGAGAACTATGAACCACAAACACCGAGGTAAGAGTATGCAAATACAAAGTTGATTGGATTATGATGCGATCCCCAAGAATAATACTGTATCTTTCATTAAAGCAATTCTTTAATAAAAGTGTTGCTAACTGTTGAGATTTGTATCTTATTTTTAGGGGTCTAATTGTAAATAGAAAATTTAGAAGAAGTCTACGGGTTATGTGTTAAATGTTTGTAAGGACTTATAAAACCCCAACTCATGAATGAAGGAAAACAGTTTTTAAGCAAAGTAATCATCCCTATTTCTTCATGGTATCAGAGTCAACATCGTCGCTGCTCGATCTACGATCGCATGCTAGCTGAGGAAGATAGGGAAGGAATCGGCAAAATGGTGGAAGCTTTTGGGAACTGTAGAGGAGAAGCAAGCTAGGGCTTCGACCGAATCAAGAAGCTTACACATGAGACAGTATAAACAAAAGGGACCATGGCTCTGTCGTGCAGAACAACAAATAGGATCGATTGCGGAAGGAAGAGGGCTTCAATCGCAGAAGCTGCTGTGCGGATCAATCTTTGAAGCAAAACAGTGCAAGGTGACTCAGAAGGAGGGGACACTTAACCTAAATGTGATGAGGAGGCGATTTTGCACAGTGCAAGGAGGAGGCCACACTTAACCTAAATACAATGAACAAGCTGAAAGGGAAGTAGCCAAGGGAAGAAGCCATGGCTACTTCCCTTCTCACTTGGTCGTGCGTTGCAGCAGAGCACGCTGATGGCATGGGTTGGGAAGGAGAATGTGGAGAAGGTGAGGGCGGCTTTTCTCTCAAGTGCAAGTTTTGAAGGAGAACTTGATAGCCGGTAGAAGCGATGTCAGGGAAGGAGGAAGTATGTATCTTTATAGGGGGCTTGTCATGGAGTACCATAGAATGACAACTTGATGCTATGTTTAGTAGATTCAGCAAGGTGTTGGATGTGTGAATTATGATGGAAAGCGATACGGGGCAACCTCTTGGATTTGGATTTGTGACTTTTGCTGACAGAGATGCAATGGAGGATGCTATCAGGGAGATGCACAATAAAATGTTGAACGGTCGACAAATATCAGTCAACAAGGCCAAGCCAAAGATGTGTTCGAATGTTCAGGCTACAGTTATAGTGGTGGTGGCTACTCATCTAGTGGTGTAGGTGGAGGAAAATTCTCTTCTCGTTCTAGAACTGGCAGAGTTGAAAAAGGAGGCTATCAGACAAATAAGATGGTAGCAAAGAATGAGGGAAAGACAAGTAATTTTTACCGATGAGGATCATGAGTTACCATAGCTGTTAAAAAGGAAGCAGAGTAACAGATGTGTTTGAGGATGCTTCCACCAAGG